ATTAAAAAAAATATCGATTATTCAAGTGATTTTCGATCCGCACGTCGCTTGCCAGTGCCGGCGGCCGGCGGGAAGTTACCGAGGTGAGACCTGTGCCATATTTTTGCGCGCGCACTTCTCTTCTGCTATGTAAATAATATTTAGGAAATAAAATAAGTTGTAAATAACAATAGACTTATGTAAGTGTAAGCTTTTGTTTGTGTGTTTATTTGTTATTGTGTAAATATTTGTTTATAACTTTAAAACAATATTTTTGTGATTATTTTGTAAAAGTCACGATCATATGCGCGACCGGACTCGATCTTTGCGACGACCGCTTGTAAATACCTAATGCGCTTGGTACACCCAACCTTAATTTTTCTACTTTAATAAATATGTGCTTTGGTTAATTTATTTTAATATAATTAGTATAAAATTTAACTAATAGTACAAAAAAAACATTAAACCTTACATTATTCGAACAAATTAACTTCCCCGTTATAAAATCTGTCAAATATTACACCTCATTTTAAGTGGCGCCGCCCTGGTGGCAGAAAAAGTCGTGGATGCCCTCATTATGAACCGATTTTTTTTTAAATATGATACACTTCCCGGAGCGTAGATTCTTCACAACAGCTATGTTGTGAAGAACCCGCGCTAAAGAACAGCTGTGTTCTTTAGCGCGGGTTGGTTATTCTTTTTAATTGTATGAAGTTAGCTATTACATTTTATTAAAAGTTATTTTCTATTTACCCTTTAAGATGAACTAACTAATACAAACTGTTACAGCCCATTAAAGACCACTGCTGACCATAGGCCTCCCCCATAGATTACCTCATAGGGGGGGATATCTGTCATAGATGCCACGATTAGCAATTTTTTTTTTTTTTAGATAAATGAAGTTAGTCCATCTTTTTTTTATAGGATAAGGGTGACAAACGAGCACACAGTCCACCTGATGGTAAGTGGTTGCTGTGGCCCATAGACATCTACATCTATCTTCGTTTGCGTATTAAAACCCAGATGCGCTGTCAGCCGTGAGGACTAAGATAGAATGCCTCTTTTTCAATAAAAAGGGTCCTCTACACTCAACACTCACGAAACACAGCAGCATTAAGCTGCTATTTTACGCTGGTATTCTGTGAGAGCGTGGTCCTTCCCCGGTCGAGCCGGCTCATTCATGCTACAACTATACTATTAATATAGCTGCAGCATGGTTCTACCACGTACAATAATCTAGACGGCGACAGAGGGGAAATAACATCTACTGTCGCCTCTGAAGACAGCCACGGCCTTATCCTGTATAAGCTGTCTTTAGCTGTTTTTCTTACCCTACCAATACAATGTTTGTCACAGTCTCAATATCTAAAAACTCCTTTCCCTATTTGGTCACTTTTAGGTGCGGAATATTTTCTCCAAATGTATATGGGATCATCCCTAATCCGTATCAAAATCGGTTCACAACTAATTAACATACAGCCGATTTGTAAACCTCGTTTTTTTTGAAGTCCGATAAAATGGCATATTCATTTTTGCCTTGAAGACAAATATTAACATATTATATATAATTTAAATACATCTTAAAAATAACATTTTTACATTATCTGTGCTTTTAATAGATCCTTACTTAGGTTTCTGTGATTAAAATTAATTTAGCTGCAACTTACAGCAGGCACTATATAAAGGTTTTTAAATATTCCCTTCTGTTCGTGATGAAGCTTTTCTTATAAGAGATCATTTTTGAATGATGTATTTAGGACTGATTTTTCTATCGTGAGATAAAAGTTATTCATGGGATATTATAAAACACGATAAAGATATAAAAACTGCAGATGTATTTTTTTAATATACCACGTTTTGCCATATCTTACACTGTTATCCGACTCAGAGCTATGTTCAAAATTTCAAGTCTCTAGCACATCGCGAAATTAGTTTAAAATCAATTACTAAATTCCACCCGAACAGACATACACGAACGTGAGTCAATATAACTTAAATTGATAATTCAAAAAACCCCGAAACAAAAAGAAATGATGATCTTCAAACGGATGATTAAATCATAGCTTGATAAGAACACTCTGTATCAAGTCACCATTCAAAGAAAAAAAAAAACTAAATGTAAATCGGTTCATCGTTTTGAGAGCTACGATGTCACAGACAGACACATAGATAAATAGAAAAACATCATATACACTGGTTAAGATATAACACTCCTATTTTTAGTCGGGGGTTAAAAAACGTGGTAAAATAGAACAATTGTTTTAACTATATATTCAGCAGGTTATAATTTATTTGATGGAAACTTTTATCTGACGATAGAAAAAATCAGCCATTAGTTAATTTTAATTTACTTCTTTCATAAAAATATATCAGTTTTATACATTTTTACAATAACCCCTTAATTTTGTAAATATGTGTCTATATTTTAATATTTTTACACTTTTAAATTGCACACAGTTAACACAAAAATAATCTAATCCACCGTCAGGCCAAGAATGAGATTAGGCCAAAATAATACTTTCATATAAAAGCAGCCCACTAACCTCTATATATACAAATACGCTGGACTGGCTATGCCATACAAAATGCTTATGTCGATTTGAAGCGCCCTCATTGTCCGTACCGGGAACTAAAATTGACATAATATGCCAGTCTGTTTTGTTATTTAAATCGTATCTCTGTATTTTGAACTTTTAACTATAAAATTAAAGTATTCTATGTGGTTTGATTATGTTTGATTTTAGTTACATAATAAGAATTATTTTTATTAATAGTGAGTGTGCGTAATATGTAAAACTAGTTACCAAAAGAAAAGTGGAATAACATTATACAAGTAAGTGAATTTACAGCTAATATTAAGCAAATTAAAACTATTTGATAATATAGGTACTAAAAATGTGTTACTAATCTTAATATCGTAATTACCAACATGTTTAGCTTTATATTACTAAGTTTTGATAAACAATAAAATTCAATAGGCTTGTCGAGTTCCTTGTCTATAATACTTATCGATGTTCTTTTCTACCCATATCCGTTAACAACCAAAGTCGTCGACAACAGATATTTATCAAATGTTTATTAATTAACAGGTTTCCAACTGAACGTAGACTAAAATTATGGTAGTAGTAGACTAAAAATAGTAGCCGTGGTTTAGTAACCCACGGTAAAAGTAGGGCGACTCACATGGCTGGCCCTAAGTGAAGGGCTGGCCCAAAGTGGCCACTCTAAGTGGGCTTGTGAAGCCCTTGTATGTGCCTCTCCCTTATCGCTGCAGCGATGCGCTATTCGACTATCCTCCGCGACATTGGCGGGGCTTCACCACTTGGTGCTGGGGGAGTCTGTTGTGCAGGTCGAGTTGGAGGCCGCGAAGGGCAGTGTGCCTTGTGGTTCTGGTGTGCCTTATCTGAGAAGGAAAGGGGGAGAAGTCCTCAACTAAGGAGGAGCTGCTATTGGGCGGCTAGCGCTGGCGGGGCCGGTGTTTGAAAGCCTTTGCGTAGCCCTGCCAATGTGCGGCGAAGGTGGAACACCATAGAGTTTTAGTAGGTGCGAGTCCGACATAATCCGTTCTTGCCCCCGGAAACGGGTATGCGTAGGCATTTTTTCTTCATTTGAAACCAGGAACAAAATTCGTTGTGTAGTTACGAATAAAAAAATAGATAGACCAACACAGCGTCGATCTTGGATTTATATGAGGTATAAAGCTTGCATCTAAGGCCAAGGTATTAATTGATACATTTATTTATTGTATGGCATTATATTAATACGAGTCATATGTCTGGGTATAGAATTTTTATCGATATGTTTTGTCACACTGTCTTATCTCTATTATTAGTTCCTTAGACGTTCACTTCTACTGCCAGCGCCAAAATGGCGAAAATCAAATCGCTTCATTATGTCACGGTGTATAGCCAGTCCATATATAGAGGTCAGTGAAGCAGCCCTAATTAAAATCGCAGACGCAACATTGATACAAATAAAAAAGGGAAGATAAATACACTAATTTTAGTGTTTCATTTTTATATATGACCGCTACTGTAGTGTGTTAATATAATGTGGATTAGATGGGATATAGCACTACGATTATAATGATTTATATAATGTTCAAGTGTGTGGTATCTTCTAATTTTTGTTTATACCAACGAGTTGCAACAGTTAAATAATAAAATGACAAACAAATCCAAGCAATAAGGAATATACCTATATATTCTTTTTCATAATAAAATTACGATTTCAGTGGTTTTCTTTTTATCAGTATTTGGAAAACCTAAACGAAAATAAAATAATTGAGAGGATAATAATATTAAACCTACGATTTTAAGACGACAAAAATATAGAAAGCATTGAGAACTGATATTATACGTCTTTGCTTGCTGTAGGAGGCAAAGGCATCTTAGCGATACAGCATGAGGTTAGAGATTGTCAAAAAAAATCTTCCTAGTCCATATGTAAAAAAAATCTTAACCGCTCGCTTTAAAAAACCTTAGGTGTAAGTTAGATAGTAGTTCCTTGGTCTTTATTGTTCTAATTGTAAAAAATAGTCAATTATTGTTATATCTAATGTCACCATGGTTAATAAAGTATACTATTGTCTATTCAAAAGTAGCCAGTGAGGGCTATTAATCTTACGCTCACCAGATGTCGCTAGTTGGGACTAAGGTGAACTTATTTGTTACACAATGTCATTATAACTGAGAATTAATTATAAATTATAACTAATATTTCAGAAAGAAACATTAATATCTACACTTTTCTAACAAATAAACTTTCCCCGCCATGCAATCTGTCATATGTTTCACCTTATTCGAAAGTGGTACCGCTCTGGTGGCAGAAAAAGTTGTGGATGCCTTCATTGTCTATTTTGACGTTGTTTCTCTGCCATAGATTACAAAAGTAGGACGAAACACACTTGTAACAATTCAACATCACATTCGGAATAAACTTTATAAATATAATAATTTTTTGGTCTGTACATACGTTTGTAAATAACAACTTATACTAATTTGTTGTCTTTTGCGCTTATGTCACTGCGGCTCCTTCTTTATTTTAAGATCAAGGACGTCATCTGTAATTATACATAATAACATGATTAAAATGTGTATTATTTTTTGCTTTTTAGTATGTATGTGTTTCATGAGATGCTATTAAATACTATGTATTACATACTAGGTCCTTAACTAACAGAGACATGCAAATTTGTTTTTTTTTTTCTTTGAATATTTGTTTTATAAAAATTTACATATCAAAATCAATCATTATCAAATCAATAAATCAGCAACAACAAACAATGCACCCCATGATATTATATATATACGACCAAAGTGTAATTAAATTGAACAGGTGAAGGAGTTTGTGTATCTGGGTTCAAAGCTTACAAGAGATGGAAAGTGTGAGAGTGATATCGAAAGAAGAGTGAATGCAGGAAACATGGTGAATGGAGCTTTGCAGTCCTTTATGAGCAGTCGGAAGGTGTCTAACAAGGCTCGTTTGGCTGTGCATGAGGAGTTGGTTCCGACACTCATGTACGGAAGTGAAAGTTGGGTATGGCAGAAGAAACATGAAAGCAGAATAAATGTAGTTGAGATGAGTGCGTTTAAGAAGTATGATAGGAGTGAAACTGAGTGACAGGATAATAAATAGTGAGATAAGGAAACGTTGTGGTCTGAAAGAAGATGTAGTGACAAAAATTGAGAAAGGTATGCTGAGATGGTTTGGCCATGTCGAGAGAATGAATGAAGAACGATTGACGAAAAAAGTGTATAAGGCGAGTGTGAATGAAAGTGTTGGAAGGGGTAGACCTAGACGTTTCTAGACCAAATCAGGGATGTCTTGAAAAAAGGCCAGGTCATGAGTACCCTAAACCGTAGAGCATGTATGAAGGGAATAATGAAAGTGGACGAAGCGAAACAAGTATGTAAGGATCGTAGCAAGTGGAAAGAAGTGGTCTCTGCCTACCACTACGGGAAAGAGGCGTGATTATATGTATGTATGTATGTATTAAGACACAAACAACCATTTTTAAATTATTTTTTTCTGTTTGTCTGTCCGTTCGGAATGGCTGCAGCGTTTGTGATGAAACTTTACAACCAGATTAGAACAATGTGAGAAAAGAAAAACTTTTAGATTTTCAGATAAAATATAACCTATATCCCTTAGGCTATATTTTATCCGAAAATCTTAAAGATTTTTCTTTAGAAAAAAAAACAAATGTTTGATTATCTTAAATCTTATTAACGGTACATTAATATCCAGACAAAGCCATGGCGGGTTGCTAGTATATTAATAAATAAAGGCAGCACAGGATTATAGTGTACGAGTTTGTGCACAAGCACAGGTGCACTCTTTATTGCCTCACACTCATAGTCCGATGGGACGGTACACCGACACGACCGGAGAGATCAGGCACAAGAACAAGGGCTTTACGTGTTTTACGAGGCACGGGGGTGAACCACCGCCCAATTTCCTAACTCCGGACAGCTACTGAGATTTCTGGACAGAAAAACTCAATTACTTTTTATTTGGCCCGACCAGAGATTCAAATACGGGACTTCATGATCAGCAGTCGCATTTACAATCACTAAACCAACGAGACAGTCAAATGAATTATAATAAGTATAAAGATAAACATTCTCTGTCACTAACCATTAACATCAGGATAAACATAAGCAATCCTTCTTGGAGCGGACTGCTTCCTCCCGTGACTCTTTCTCCTCTCCTGCTTCAAAGAGAGATTAAGAACTCCATTCTCGCCCGCTACTTTTGTATTATCCACACTTTCAATCTTCATACTCTTTTCAGTTATAAAAATAGTTTTGGCGCAGACTCTCTTCAAGTCCTTCCCTTTGTATATATGATTGACACTCTGTTGAACAAGTTTGTCTATACGACATTCGAAGACCTTCATGTCTTCTTCTAAATCCTCAACAAATATATCCTTTATTCTCTCCTTTTCCATAACCTCTTGGAAGCACTTCGTGTCTTCTATTCTATTCTTATAGTTAGATATAAGGGGTTTGGTTTCTGCGATTTTCCTAGGACTCTCATTGGACGGGTCGTTTTGAGATTCATCTATGCTTACTTCTTCTATTTCTTCTTCTGGCACTTCTGTCGGGTCTGATCTCTCACGTAAAATCTGTAGATTTATTTTGAGCCATAAATAATAGAAATTAATATATTATAATGATCTGCCTGCGTGAGTATATGTGTATGTATATGCGTGAATGTGTGTGTGGATGTGCGTGTTTGTGTATACTAGCGTTATTCAGTGTCCAGTAAAGCAAAGTTACATTTTTAGGATTTTACGTAACTTTTCATAACTTGTACATATGTTTGATAAAAATTTAACCACATTTATGTAACTTTTTGAAAAATATCTTTGTTTTCTTCTTTTTTCCAAAAAATTCTCAGAAATAGTACATTACTAATATCTCATGACCAGGGGCGTAGCTACCGCTGTATCAGCCGTATCAATGATACGGGGCCTCCGGCCTACAGAGGCCCCAAACGTAGGTATGTAAGCAAAAATTCTAAGGACTTCTATGGGACAGGATGTTGGTTTGAATTTTTTGGCTAGCTTAGTTCCTAGGAGTATTAACTGTTAGTAATAACTTATAATCAATATGTAATTATTTTAATTCAATGCGAGAGTTTTTGTTCCTTTTGTGAAAAATCTTTACCCTTCATTTGGGCCCTCCGACAAATTTTGATACAGGGCCCCTCTAAGGCACGCTACTCCACTGCTCATGACCTTTCCTGTTCATATCAAGTGTGGATCTAGAGTTAAAGTTTGGAAGAGGTCAGAAACTGTGGGTGTTTTCAGGGCGAGAGTGGATAAATTTTGTAAAACATAATCAGTGCGCTTTAACATCTTTGGCTGCTATTGTTAAGTTAAGTTAAGTTGGTAAAAAATATTTGGCGTCCATTATTTTATTGAGCGGGATGTACACAAAGTAACTTGTACCAACTTTAATATAATGGATTTCCGCAAAGTAACGCCTGATTTTATTTTTTTTATTTATCTAATAAGAACACTAGTAATGCTATTAAACATTACTAATATTCCCTTTAACCACTTCTGGTAAACTTAAAATGTCATCAAAAACATAACTTGTAAAAAAAAACCAAGTCTCGCAACTCAGTTTTTCTACCGTAAAAAGTTGTGAAATCCATGTAATACCAAGTCGGTTAACTTATTCAGTCCCTACTTAAGGGTCCTTCTGTCTTAAGTTATTACGTAATTAGCTAACCTAACAACATCTTATAGTGACCACATCAATACTAAAAATCTTTTATATTTTAAATAAATAGATTCACTTGGCCATTGTATGAAAACACAATGTATCTCTCAAGTAATACATATTACATTAAATTAGATTGTTTAGTGCGATTGCCAAGTCAATTTTTTATTTAAATCATAAAAGATTTTTAATATTGATATGGTCACTATAAGATGTTGTTAGGTTAGCTAATTACGTAATAACTTAAAACAGAAGGACAAGTTATGTTTTTAATGACATCTCATTTCTTTTTGTAGATAGTTATATCTAGGTACCTATCTACACCTATTATTGCATTATATTATACATATATAGGTACACCGATTCATTCACTGCAAATGTAACTTTATAATTCTATATATTTATATGGGATTACAAAGTTATTTATGCAGTTGGTGTATCTCGATAACTGGACCGAAATTGCAAAATATTTTAATTTTTCCTTGATTTATATACAAAACAATAATTGTATTCCAAATTTGAAGCTTCTATGTCTGCTAGAAGTGCCTTAGAGTTTCGATGATCGGTCAGTCAGTGAGTGACAAAATTAAGAAACTTAGGACTAGGTATAATTCTTAAACTACTGGTTCAAATTTAATAAAAGAACAATGGCAGACTTTCATACATAAAATTAGTTGAGAATGAATGGTAGCGTCTATATATCAAAAATATCTTAAAATGTTAAGCGTCACTCCCTTAATAACTCTGTCAAAGAATTTTGTCCTGAGAAGGCGTCAAAAAAAAGATATTTAGATTTGAACTTTTTTAGGTTATGTCTTATGTCACTTGGAAAATGTCATGCGTCCTGTGGTTGTTTGATGTTAGCTTAATACATTCTCAACATAACGTGCCCTACCTACATAATTGACAGTTTTTAGATTATTTTATCTCTATTGTATATTTGTATACTATAAATGTATAATTCTGGCATAGCTCCAGGGCCTTTGTGTCATACAGCGACATTCTCAGAAGGGCTAGAACCCAAAGCCGTAAAGCCAGAAACAAAAAACATTGACATTTTGTTTTAGCTAGTGTTGTCATAACATTAAATGGAATTGTTAGACATTAGTATGATTGAGATAATGCACATCGCGGCAGAACTCCCGATACCATCCACACCATCTGGATGATTGGCGGTCCACCACTGTGCGATTTAGAAGATGTTTTCTTCCTCGCACAACTTCCTTGTGGAATAGTTTACCACCAGGGATTTTTCCGGACCGATACGACTTAGGGACCTTCAAGAAAAGAGCCTACTCCTCTTTAAAAGGCCGGCAACGCATCTGCAATTCCCCTGGTGTTGCGGTTGTTCATGGGCGGCGGTAGTCACTTACCATCAGGTGAGCCGCATGCTCGTTTGCCCCCTCTCCTATAAAAAAAAAAAATGTATTATTGTAGGAAGTTCTTTGTAAGAGACTTCTTTTCAACCATATCACTTTTTTATTATTATTACTGATGGTATAGTTATTACTAATAATAACTTAATATAAAAATATTTTGTGTTTGTGTGCTGTGTTGGTAGTCCTACAAAGTGTATACGAAAATAGTATGAATATTACTATAATGACAACACTTGAATAGAGTGTTAAATAAAATGATTTAAGTCATTTGATATTCCCAAAAATGTTTGTTTTATTCATTTTCATTTGAAAAATCATAGAAAAATTATAAAACTCATTTTATATATAACTTATTTCTAGACGCAATAATTTTTGTCAACTATTTTTCTGCCATTGCTCTTTGAAATATACCGTGTTCATACAATGTCTATTTGGTTACTGAAAATTCAGGCTTCTAGTTTTATCCACAACGAAGTTATAGGGTTTCTAAAATGGCCTGAACTGCTTCGAGAAAAGGATGGTACGGCACGCTTTTTTGCTCGACTTGGCGGGGGCACTGCCGTGCCCCCAGACCATTCTAACACAAGCAGTGTTAGAAGTGGTTCACGACAGTAGTCGAATGGCGGATTCGAACCCACAACCTTTATTTTATTAATTATCTTCGGCTGCATCACCATTTACCATCAGATGGGATAGAAGTCGAGCGCTGGCTTATAACAGTTAAAAAATATTTTTTTTTTTATAGAACAAGAGTGACAAACGAGCACACAGTCCACCTGATAGTAAGAGGATGCTGTGGCCCATAGACATCTACATCTATCCTCTATTACAAATCAAAATGCAGATGCGTTGTCACCCGTGAGGACTAAGATGGAATGCCTCGTTTTCAGTAAAATGTTTCTCCGGTTTTCTACACTCACCATACGAAACACCTATAAAAGTTAAGCAGTGGACTTTAATAGCTTATTAAAGTCCACTGCTTAACACAGGCCTCCTCCATAGATTGCCTATAGTGTAGGCATTCCATCTTAGTCGTCACGGGTGACAACGCATCTTCATTTTGATTCTTAATCGAGGATAGATGTAGATGTCTATAGATCTCAGTATCCACTTACCATCCGGTGAACTGTGTGCTAGTTTGCCACCAGAGTTTTTTATTTTATAGAATAGGAAATAAAAATGTTTTTAAGCTTACCTGGACAAGATGGCGCCTCAGTCGCGTACAATGTGCCCTAATAAGATCCCTGCGTGCTAGTAGACTTCGACGTTCCGCTAATGCGTCGTCCCTACAAGCCCTAACAGCTCTCAGCTCTTTCGCCAGCCTTCGTAGATGCTCCATGCTGCGTCTACGGCTGTTCTGTGATGCAAGCTGGAAATATGTAATAGGAATCCTACATTGACTACAAAATTATGAATATAATAGAATATTTATTGAATTGCCATTTAAGCTTTACCACTGGTTGGGAAGAACCAGCATGAAAACCCAGAGGGATAACATTTTATACAATTATTATGAAAACGTTTAGACAAAGCATGGTAGTGATCACCTCATTCCCAGGGGTTATTACTAATTATGTACTCTTTAGTAGTATAATAAATAACCCTTTATCATCATCATTATCATCATTACAGCCCTTCACATGTCCGCTGCTGAACATAGGCCTACCCCAAGGAACAAATATATAATAAAATAACCCTTACTAAACAATTTTTGCCTAATAATTTTTTTTTACTTTTTGATAGATAGGCCTACATATTTTCTGGGACTTTGTTGTTCGTATACATTGCCCCTCTGGAGTCGAGAAACTTGTGTTTGTTCCTATTTACGTATTAATGTCAGTGATGGAAAAAATCATGATTTTTTTGAACTTTATGAGTTTTTTGTAAATTTTGAATTTAACGAGTTGGTAACAATTTTTGACATAATTGGTTTAAAAGTTTATGAATACATATGTATGAGACAGATTAAGAGTAAAATAATAAATAATTTATTAATTACAGTTCATATCATAAGTGTGAATTTCTAAAAAATGTTTTTGTTTGATTTTACTAAGTTTATGAGACTGACAGACCTTATCGCTACAGTCTTTGTTGATTTTCCAAAGTTTATGAGACTATTGTAGTAGAATAATAAGAAAAACATAAAACAATAAAAGATTTTACCTTATTTTATTTTATTTATTCTTTATTGCATTCCTTAATCTAAAAGAATACAAATGGCGGACTTAATGCTTTGTGGCATTCTCTACCAGTCAACCCATGGAGTGGTGAGAATTTGAAGTAGGTGTAGCAATATAGAATAAAAACAAAATAGAAATTTATAATTAATTACGTTATATACACATTTTACTAATATATACAATAAATAAACTATAAAAATATATCCTATTTATACATGTATACAAATATATACGTACATACATATACTTATACTTATACTTATCTTCACGCACAATCCCTGACGGGGTAGCCAGAGAGAACAGATCGCCAAGTGTCACGATCCTTACATATCTCTTTCGCTTCTTTCAGATTCATTATCTTCTTCATACATGCACGTCTAGGTATCCGAGTACTCCTGACCCTACCCTCTTCGAGCAATTTGCTCACATGGTCTTCGAAAGTTAGTCTCGGTCTACCTCGACACCTTTTAATATTAACTTTCGCGCTATATATTTTCTTCACCATTCGGTCTTCACTCATTCGCTCAACGTGCCCAAACCACCGAAGCACGCCCTTATCAATTTTTGTGATAAGGTCATCTTTCAAACCTGCCATATTGCAAATCTCTTCGTTTCGCTTTCGGTCGGCCATAGTAACGCCGCACATTTTACGAAGAGATCGCATCTCCACTGCATTCAACTTACTTTTATGCTTCTTCTGGCATACCCAGGTTTCGCTGCCATATAACAAAGTCGGTACCAACACTGCGTTATGTATTGCAAGGCGTGCACTCTTCGCTACGCCTTGCCTTTTGACTAACGCAGTCAGGGCACCATTGACTTTGTTCCCGGCAGCGACACGCCTGTCCACATCTAAATCACATCTTCCATCCCGGCTAAAAGCACTCCCCAAGTATACAATTTCATTTACCTGTTCTAGACATTCCTGATTTACCCATATTTCACACTTCGTTCTCTCTTCGTCCCTTTCAAATACCAGAACCTTAGTTTTATTAGCATTCAAACGGAGACCTTTAATTTCACATTCCTCTTTCATACACGTGACTAATGCCTGCAGTTCTGCCTCTGATGGTGCAATAAGCACTGCATCATCAGCATACAGCAGACAATTTACTTTTATGTCACCCAATTTCACACCCAAACAGCTATCTTTCAGCTTTTGTAAACAGCTGTCGAGATACAGTATGAACAGCCAGGAAGACATGACACAACCCTGTTTTACGCCCGTTTGGACGCTAAACATGGGTGACAGGTCATGCCCTACCCGCACACAGGCTTTACAGTCACAGTAAAGAGACTGCACAGCCCTTAGCAATCGGCCATCCACACCATACCCCGGCAACAGTTCCCACATTTTCTTCCTTACAACCTTATCAAATGCTTTCTCAAGATCCACAAAAGCACAGAACATCTTCTGGTTAACAGCCAGAAGCTTTTCCGTGATCATACGGAGAGAAAACATTTGATCCGTGCATTCTCTTCCAGGTCTAAATCCGCATTGTGCCTTCGAGTAAACTTTACTTGCTAAACTGGTCAAGCTGATCGCCCGATAGCACCCGCAGTCAAAATGTGAACCTTTACCTTTATATAAAGTCACAATGACTGCGGATCGCCAATCATCCGGGACATCCCCCGTCCGCCAGCACAAATTGCACAGCAGATGAAAGCTGTCCCAGACGCGAGGCCCACCATACTTGACCATTTCAGCAGTAACTCTGTCTAGTCCCGCAGCCTTACCACATTTCAAACTTTGAATCGCACGTTCAATCTCTTTCATACTGATGACCTCAGTGTCATCGAGGTCCGGGTCTGGCGTGCCAGTCACGGCGTCATCCCCGGATCCCTCACTAAGATCATCACACGCATACATTTCTCTATAAAATTCGCTCCATCGCTGCATGACGTCCGATTTTTCTGAGAGGACGTCATTAGTTCTCGAAAGCACTTTGTTCATTCTTAAGGCCGTCGCACCACTTCGGGTCCTTCCAACCTCTTTCCAGAAGAGTTTGGAGTTCTCCTTAAAGTTGTGCGACAACCTTTCATCCGCTTCCATTCTACACCTTTCACGCACTTCCTCAATCAATGCTTTCGTGTGAACTTTCTGCAGCTTATATCTTTCTTTCATCTTCTCTCTCATATCCTTATCATTACTAGAGGCCAAGTAGTCTAACCATGCTTTCTTCTTCTTCTTTACAGCTTCTTTCACTTCATCATTCCACCATGCATCTGTTCTTTTACTACTGCCTCTTTTTATTGTTCCACACACTTCTTCCGCTGCACTTACCATTCCATCCCTAAGGTTCTGCCATGTTCTTTCTACACATTCGTTTCTGCCATCGATGGTGTCAAGCTTTTCGGCTACCCTCGCATGATATTTGTCCCTAGTATCCGCTTCCTGAAGCTTCCAGCTTCGGATGCGACAGACCGACTGTGGTTCTGTCACTGTCGTCCGGTAGCGCCAACCCGCGAACAGACCCCTAAATCTAGTAACCACTAGATAGTGATCCGTTCCCAGGTCAGCACCCCTGAACACTCGCGTATCCATAACCTGTTTTCGCAGTCGGTCATCCACCAGGAACAAATCGATCATACTTCTCTCATTCTTTCTTTCTCTAGTATACATATGGATTTTCTTGTGATTAAACATAGTGTTTGTTACAAGAAGACCCTTTTCCTTGCATACCGCCAGTATAAGCTTGCCAGCATCATTAACCCTTTTATCGCCAAACTTTCCAAGTACCGACTCGTACCCTGATCGAGCGGTACCAACCCATCCATTCAAATCACCACATACAACAATCCTTTCGTTTCCCCTAGCCAAATCTAGAACTTCTCTTACATTCTCCCAAAACTCCTCCAGCTCAGCCCTGGACGACGAAACCACCGGCGCATAAACAGCCAAAAGGAATAACTTCGTCAGTCCCAATTTAAAGCGAACCCAGAGAAGTATTGAGTTCACAAACTTATATTCAGTCATAACATCGACCAACCGAGAAGACAGCAGCACCCCCACTCCCTGGCAGGCGTTCTCGCTCTCCGGGACTCCGGACCATAGAGCAAACGCCCCGCCAGGGAGCTCTTCAGTACCACTGCCCTTCCGTTTGGTCTCCGACATACACACGACATCTAATTCTCTTTCTTTCATTCTCAACTCATTCGTCTTATCTCTCATGCCTCCTCTAACATTCCACGTGCCAACTCTGCACTCCGTCCTCCACCTTCCGCCGTGTCGGGCTGTGCGTGACGGGTGGCGGTCCCGAGGACGGGGACGAGCTGGTGTGCGTCGCCTTGGGGGGACGCCCTAACCCTCGTTGACATGGGTGCGCAGCTGAGTAGAATTGCAGCCCTGAAAAGGGCTGGCAGGGGTCGCGACGAGCACGCTTCTACAATGACCCCTAGATACATACATGAGCATACATATATTCATACCAACATACATATACAAATAATACATATAAATAACTGTAAATATATACGTCTAAAATATAAATGACATGGATGATTCATCTAAGAAGCGTTGTCTTTAACAGATGATTACGCACCAACCTTTTACCTTATTTTAAGTCAGTTTTATTTCGTTTTCTGCCTATTACATTAATTTATACATGTTGATTTAAATCAATGAATTTTTTAATCAAAATCAAGCGATTTAAATCAGCCAACCCTGCTAAATGTACATCACCATTTATAATATAACTATTTTTGTTTTCGTGTTTGGACTAACAAAAGTAGCTCGAAAAACAGTATAGTGATGCCAATTTTTTTTTGATAAAAGTATTTTCGAGATTATTACTTGTACGTTTAAAGTAGATAACGAAAAATACAAAAACCTATACAGTATATTTCATCATCAGCATCACAAGAAGGAAGTCAATGAATTCAGGTGACTCGATAGAATTGTAAAGGATTTGTAATAATGAGGATGCTAATAATGTTTCAAATTGATATTTTATATTTTAAAATAATATTTTGGTTGCTTTGTCCGAGTCATTATTAGGTCTTTACCTATTAAATTGCCGTTTTTATGAAATAAGTAACCGTGTTTTTTTGTCTATATTTTTTTTCTATTAATCGATGCATTTTTGCCAACGCTATGGCAGTTTATTGATGCCCTTCTTGAAGAAATCATCTGGACGGGAGGTAATAAATTCTTCAAGGGTATTTTGTACTGCCTCTTGAGTATTTAATTTTTTACATGCCAAAATTTTATCCAAATTCTGGAAAAAGTAGAAGTCTGTAGGCGTAAGGTCTGGTGAGTACGGCGGATAACGAAGAGCTTCCAACCTCAGCTCTTGTAACTTGGAGACCGTCGGTTGTGCAGTATGAGGTCGTGCGTTGTCGTGCAGGAGCAGCGGGGACGAGTGATTGACCAAAGCTGGTTGGAAACGTGTGAGCTTCTCAAACATTGTGTTCAGTTTTTCACAGTACACATCTGCAGTAATGCTCATCCGGTTTGGTATAAGAAGCTGTGATGAATCACACCGGCGCTTGACCACCAAACAGTGACCATCACTTTTCTAAGGGTAAGTTTTAGTTTAGGGTATTGTTTAGGTGTTGAATCAGGATCCAACCAACTTGCTGAGCGCTTGCGATTGTCAAACAGAAGCCATTTTCATCGCAGGTAACAATACAGTCTGTTGAGAAATGTAAGGTACGTCTCGACGCGTACTTCGCGCTGACAATCATTGAGTTGGTGGGGCACCCATTTGTCAAACTTTTTTGCCAATCTAACGGAAATGGACGAACCTTGTTTTGATGCTAGCGTCAAAAGCTGCTGCTAATTCAGCCGTAGATTGAGTATCATCACCTTCCACCATTGATTTTAATTCGTCATTGTCAACCAAAGTTTTTGGACGACCACGATATTTTTCATGACAAAATTTTCAGAACGGAAGCGGACAAACGACTAACAGGTGGTGCGTTCGTTTGTATTATTCGTTCCGTAAACATCGCGTTGCTGCCACGACGGTAGGTACTCATATTCCATAATTACTCGAATTTTTAACGTATCCATGATGACGAAAAAACATTCAAATGCGATGAAAACATAACGCTAATCAATAAACAAATCACTAATTAAAAAAAAAGATTTCCATGTTTTTATAATAAAATTAATTTGAAATTAGAATTCTTAGCCAACAAAAATTATTTTCATTTGAAATGGCCAGTACTGCAGAACGGCAATTTCATAGGTAAAGACCTTGTATTAACAGCCACAAGCCGCATTAAAATAATGTAGTTTCGCCTACTAATATTTTCTAGAAATATAGTATTTGGACCTCTATCCTAATATAGTAGGATACTAAATTATATAGTAGGATTGGCAGCCCCAGCCTCGTACAAGTAACCTAGGTGCAGTACGAGCTCCCACTAAATGGAATGACGTCCTGGTAAGATATGCAGACTCAACGAATGCAGGTGGCTTTGGATCGCGTTTTGAGGCATTCCTTGTGTTGTTGTTAACGTTGTTACCGCTGAGGACTAAGATGAAAGGTCTCTTTATCAGTATAAAGGGTCTCCGGTTCTGGACACTTACCAACTTACCATACTATTAGTTGTATTCTGTAAGAGCGTGGTCCTACCCCGGTTGAGCCGACTCAATTGTACTGCAGCCATATCTACCGCTTAAGAATTACAAGTAAATTCAAGGCAGAATCAGACCAAGCGCCTACTTATGGTAACTGCTTTCTACGATGGGGGAGGCCAATGTCCATTGGACATTACGGCTTGCTGAAGGAGAGAACACGTTAAGGCAGAGGCACTCAACATCCCGAAGACCTGAACGTTGAACGTGAAGTTAGAAACATGGTCACAATCACTACAAAACCAGCAATAAAGAAAAGTTACAGCCTATATACAACCCACAACAGGGCCCAGGTCGCCTCTCATTTGTAGGCGCGTCTTTTTTATCGTGGATGATTCTTCATGGATATCTTCTGCTGCGAGAGCAACGAAAATGTCCGATAGTCTCGCTAAAATTCGGAAACTGGCTAGACCAATTCTGATGAAATTTTTCGTGTGTTTAAATGGGTTTCTGGATGGTTTAGCTCCACAATTTTACACGGTAGGTGGCGCTGTTGTCGGTATCCAGAAATAACCCGCGCGAAGCCGGGGAGGATTGCTAGTATCTTTATAATCTTCAGAATCTTCACCGGTTCGCGAAAACAAACCACTGAGGTCTTTTTTTAATAAATACAATGCCTGTAACTTTTTTAAATGCAATTTTAGCAATACTTCAGTATACGGTACACAGTACAGTAATATAGTCATAATAATCATAATTTATTTGCAGAAAACATGGTACAATACAGTTTGGTAAATGATTTAAGTCCAGCAGTGCTTTCTCATAATGAAGACATACAAATATTTATCTAAGACAAAAATTACAATATAACAACTAACATAACAATTAACATTATTCCAAATTCATCAATTTTAGTATACCTTTTTTACTGGAAACGAGACATTCCAACTGAGCTCTCAGGGGTAACAACGCATCTGCATTTTGATTTGTAATAAAGGATGTATATGTCTACGAGCCACAGCAACCACTTACCATCAGGTGGACTGTGTGCTCGTTTGTCACACTTATTCTATAAAAAAAAAACTTGGTTTTTGCTTTTTTAAGTTTTAATTTTCGTAATGACTGAACTATACGAACAGACAGAGATCAATGCCAGAAAGAATCTACGTGGATCTAAGGTATATTTTGACCGAATAACTCGAATTTTTCATAAAAACTTTTTGATTAAGTTAATGTCACCCAGGCGAAGCCGAGGCGGTTTGCTAGGGTATGGTTCAGGTTCATGGCATTGAAATTATGTGATAATTATCTTAGTCTTTAAGTTTTTTAAAGTCGATTTTAACTTTTTTAAGTATAATCATAACTCAAATAATATTACATGAAACGTGATGTTAAAGATAAAGACCCCCCTCAGACTCTCTCCGCTCGGTGTTGGATGACGGCTAGCTGTGCGGTTAACCGAGCGCAATACGATACCTTATCGCATGTCTCACGGCCCCTGACTACTGTGCGAATGTAAACGTGTTATATATTTACGACAGCACGACTTAGTAGACAAAGGATCCATCTCTGGAGACGCGGGTTTGGATTGAAATTCTAACCTGAACATATAACAGATTTGTGATCATATCCTAGACGAACCCCGCCATTATATTAGATGATAAACGACAAATTCTCCCGAAAGAACATCGATTCCTGCCAAGGATGATACGTGAGGCTATTGAATTAAAAAATCATACTAATTTCAATAGAGAGGGAGGCTGGGTACCACCACCAGCTTGGGATCCTGTAATTAATAAAATTAAAACTAAACCCAAGCATACCCCTGCAAAACTTCAAGACACAGTAAGTTCATTCTGCGTAGATCGGACCAAAATTAATAATTAAAAAAGCTGAAGGTACTCCGGGTTAACATTGGGACGTCAATCACCTCAGTCCCCCGTGACCATTGGTGCTGTAAAGCACCCAAAACTTCAGGAATTTAATAAAAATAAATTAATTAAATGCGATAGAATCCGTAAAAGTAGTATTATTCAATCTGAACATATAAATAAAAACTTAATTTCTGTCTGTATTATTGAAATAACTGATTTCTAGTTCAGGGAGTTATTTGCATGCTAATAAGACAAATAACCATTTTTTTTTAAATTTTGGTCTGTCTGTCTTCTTCCTAGGAATTTTCGAAATGGCTGAATTCATTGTTATGAAACTTTAGGAACAAATATAGAACAATGATAAGAAGGATCTAGGCCGTATTTCATCCAAAAAATTGATACTATTTTTAAAAATGAAAAATTTAATACAATGAATTATCTTAAAACTAAATATACATACATATATAATATACATTAATAGATATTATCCAGGCAAAGCCAGGGCGAGTTGCTAATCTTCAATAAGGAGGAGGATGCTGGTGACAGTGCTACTTTTACTAAAGTTATGCCGCTGCCTATATGTAGGTTTGGAGCAGCTATCGGATCAATAAGCTAACGTGGAAATGGATCGGCTGTATAACTTGAAGAACCGACAACTAACGGGGAAGAAAGGTTCTCGATCGAAGGTAAACTGTAATTTAACGTATGCATAACAATATTTTGGTGATTATTTTTTATAGGAGAGGGGGCAAACGAGCATGCGGCTCACTTGATGGTAAGTGACTACCGCCGCCCATGAACAACTGCAACACCAGGGGAACCAGATCGCAGATGCGTTGCCGGCCTTTTAAAAAGGAGTAGCTTCTTTTCTTGAAGGTCCCTAAGTCGTATCGGTCCGGAAAAATCGCTGGTGGTAATCGATTCCACAAGGAAGTTGTGCGCGGAAGAAAACATCTTCTAAATCTCACAGTGGTGGACCGCCAATCATCCAGATGGTGTGGATGGTATCGGGAGTTCTACCGCGACGTGCGTTCGTGAAATTTGGCGGCTGGGATTAATCTGAACAATTCCTCAGAGCACTCCCCGTGGTAAATGCGAAAGAAAATGCAAAGGGACGCAACATCTCTTCGCAACGCCAATGAATCGAGCCGATCGAAAAGGACTCGATCGTCGACGATTCGAGCCGCTCTGCGCTGGTTGCGGTCAAGTGGAAGGAGCTGGCACTGAGGAGCCCCAGCCCAGAGATGGGAACAGTATTCCATGTAAGGCCGAACCAGCGCCTTATAAAGTTGCAGGCGTTGTGCCGGCATGAAATACTGTCCCGCTCTGCTGAGCACGCCAAGCTTTTTGGAGGCCAATTTGACCTTCTCTTCCAAGTGACCACGAAACTGCACGTCACTCGATATGTCGACGCCGAGAATTCTGATACTGGCTGAGGCAACAAGGGGAGTGCCTTGAAACTGAGAAGATACGATAAAAGGGGTTGTTTTTAGTCCATTAGTAGTTCTGTAGCGGCGCGGTGGAATATATGCTCCAAAAATCTCTCATAAAAGGGAGGACGTCTGTGCATAGCACTTGGACGGATGTAGGCTGTGCCTGGAAATTGCAGAGCTTCCTCGATCCTCACACCACCTCGCACCATCAGCTGTGTTTTTGAATAAACTAACTTGCAAGTCCTCTACTGTTATTATTAAAATTGACATTTAAATATTGTTGTAGTACGAATAGGTCGGCGCGACCGTGGAAAGACCATGCTCTCACATGCTCTCACAGAATACCAGCGTATAAAATAGCAGCTTATTGCTGCTGTGTTTCATATAGTGCGTGTAGAGAACCGGAAACAATGCGTCTACATTTTGATTCTTAATCGAGGATAGATATAGATGTCTATAGGTCACAGCAACCAGATTAAGACACCTTTCAAACGAAAAAATCGATTCATCGGTTCTGTAACTGTGATGCCACAGACAGACATACAGAAACACACTACGTACTTATAACAACCCTCTGTTGTCATCGGGGGTTAAAAGAACACAAGGTTACGTTTTGTATTGACTACGATAACTTACCCTATTTTTTATTCTGCGCCGCAGGCCCTTGAGGAAGTTGAAGTCGTCCACATTCAGATGCAGCGCCTGTACTCTTGCCGAGTACTTACTGGTTGGAAGACCGGCCACTTCCTCAACTGTCATGTTGATGCCACGAGCTGTAACAACGATCAACTGTTTCTTTAAATCATCACTATTTTAAAGCATCATCATCATTGTCTCATGTTAGACTAGGACTGGGATTTGTTGGACAAATAGGTTTATGTGGGATATTATATTACAACCTATATATATATATTACTATATCGCGCTTATATATATATATATATATATATATATATATATATATATATATATTACTATATCGCGCCAACTGGGTTATTTGCCTATCATTTATTCGGGCATGGATTCGGCTCCTAGAAACATTCCATCTGTCAATTACTACACAATGATGTTGACCAAGACAATTCACGGAACTAACCGAAGCCACACTTTTTTTTTTATAGAATTATGGTGACAAACAAGCACACAGTCCATCTGATGGTAAGTGGATGCTGTGACCCACAGTCATCTACATTTATCACCGATTAAGGATCAGATGTGTTGTCACCCCTGAGGACTAAGATGGAATGTCTTGTTTTCAGTCTGTTTTTTTTTTTAATTAAAAGTCCCACTGGGTTTCTTGTTGGTTCTTCCCAGGACTGAGGTTTTTTCGAAACAGTGCAGTGGTAATTAAACAAAAGGGTGACTTTCAATAAGTATTATTTATAATCTATATTGAATAAAACAGTTTCTGTTTCTGTTCCAATAAAAAATTTCCGGTTCTCTACACTCACCATACGAAATAGCGCAGCATTGAGCTACTATTTTACGTTGGTACCTGTTCTATGAGAGCGTAGTGGAGCCACACGTGCAGTGGCCTATTCAATACTGTTCGTATTGAAGAATCGATCGAGCGGAACCAGGCCTCCAAAGTCTTTGCTAGAGATCTGTCTGCCAGAAAGAGCCAATTGTCGAAGCTAAAGATCGTTATGATGTGGCAGTATCATTTCTGGGACACCTTAGATTTTGAGTGAGATTGAGAGGTTCTATGGGTAGCTGTATACGTTATCGTTCCGTGGTGGCACTACTCCGGAGGCGTGGAGCAGAAGTGCGGTGGTCTTGTTCTTTAAGTAAGGCGACAACGCTCTCCTGAAGAACTACAGACCGATTTCCCTTCTGAGCCGCGTCTACCTGCTGGTTTCCGAAATTCATTACGAATCGTCTCCCAAGCAGACTCGACGACTTCCAGACTTACGAACAAGCCACTTTCCGAAGAGGCTTTAGCACCATAGAACACATACATGCCCTTCGGAAAATTGTACAGAAGACCAGAGTGCAAATCGCTACTTTTTGAATGCCTTTGATTCCGTCGAAATTTGGGCAGTGCTGCAGTCCCTCGTACCGGTAAGCGAAGTGTAGGGCGACTCCCCACTAGATGGAGTGACGACCTGGTAAGACTTGCATGGATGCAGGTGGATCAGGTTCGTGCTTTGTGGCATTCTTTGGGGGTGGTCTATTATGTTCAGCAGTGGACTTGTGAAGAGCTGTAATGATGATGATGTTGTGATTGAGCCGACCCATTTGTGCTACAACCATAATAATTATTAGGGATAGCTTCCTGGTGGAGCCTAATTAGTTATGGAGTTGAATTCGAGATGGTGATACACGCGGCGTGCAGGTATCACGTGACGTCCGGCGGTGTGCGGTGTGCGGGGCGTAACAGGGCATGAGGGGCGACAGGGAAGCGGTTCCTTTCGCCGTCCGTAACAATAATAATATAGCTGCAGCATGGCTTTACCACATTAAAAACGGTTGTCGGTTACTCTTGTTCTGCTATGGATATCATCATTATGAATTCTATGTTTCAGAGATCTGATCTCCCTTTGAATTTAACTCAGCTGGCCAGCGTTCGGATGATTACATACAATACATCTTCTTGACAAGTATACCTCAAAACTTAAAAACAAGATTAAACAACCTTTGCTTGCTGCCAGTGATGGCATATGGACCTGAAACAGGGTACTCTACTGCATGAGGAAGCTCAAAATCGGTCAGCGAGCTATGGAGAGGTCTACGAAATGAAGATATCCGCAGTAGAAGCAGTTACCGACATAGCCTACGGGATCAGATGGCTGAAATGGCAATGGGTCAGCGATAAAGCTCGAAGAACGGGCAACCAAAGGGAAGTGAGGTTCTCAAATCGGAGCCTTGCACTGGTAAAGGAAGGACAACCCCAGTATGACTTTTATCACATATTAACGTAGTGCTGTCTATGAACATTGAAAATAATGCCGAGATCCCCCAGCAATTCTGCCATAATTACTATGTCATCGGTAAATGAAAGGTGAATGATGGCCTCACCAACGATGTTAAAACCATATCTTTCCAGTAGCTCTAAAACATCTTCCAAACCAGCTATGAAGAGTGAATATAACGTACCCCCGTCTTACACCTTCCTGCAGTTGGATAGATTAAGTACTCTGCTTCTGTACTCAGATATCCATTGTAGCCCCAATGTAAGAACACATCAGCACTTTAATATCAAAAAGTCCATTTTGCATTGTTAACACTATCAATACAGGAAAAAAAGCTAACCTACAAAGGCAGTCAAGGGTCATTTGACCCATCACTGTTACCTAGTCTCTAATTATGCATATATGTGTAGTGTAATTGTAGAAATAGTACACAATATTCATTATTACAAAGGCAAATTAAATATTTTTGGTTTCTAGTGTATATGTTTAATAAAAAAGTCAATTCCAGTTATGACATATGAATACTACGCACACAATGAATACATGCACAAGTCACACATTTTATTAGTTTTATTTTTACAATGAGTTTGGTAGCAATTATAACTCTTCCTCAACTCAGCTGCTGGCATTTCTGAGGCGATAGAATGTCGCAGTGAGGTTTCACGAGTGGGTTCCTAAATGTTATTCAGTTCAACCGCCAATTGCAGAATAAATTATCTTCTTCGTATTTTCTTGTTGTTTATTTCTTAATACAACTCCCAGGCATTTATTGCAGATAAATCTAAAATATTACAAAATACTTGTACCGGCCATCTTCTAGAAGGTGCTTTCCATGAATAAAGAAATCTTTAGCCGTGAATATAGGAATTGGGTCGCATTTTTTTTAATCCGCGAATAGTGAAAACGCAAATGAAGGAAGGGCGAATAAGGAGCTATTACTGTACCAACATAGTATAAAACAAAGTCGCTTCCTAGCATCTGTACACTTAGATCTTTTAAACTATGCAAGGTGTTTTGATGTGGTTATCATAAATAGATAGAATGATTCAAGAGGTAGGTTTATATATGTATAATACATGCATTATATATATATATATATATATATATATATATATATATATATATATATATATATATATATATATATATATATAATTATTCTATCCATGTGTATGTGATTGAACTCCTTCTAAACTGCTGAAATTTTGTGTATGATTTGAGAATGGTTCAGGTACACAATTGGACTCGGTAGTATTATTGTTGAGATCCACAAATCACCAGTGTGAAGCCGGGTCGATCACCAGTAAAAACTAATGTGGTGATTTCCTTGAAGAACAAATCTAAGTCTACAATAAACTTATACCAGTTATCATGAGGTGGGATAGTAGTCAAATACTGGCTTAGTATAGTAAAAGCTTATAGTCCACTGATGGTAAGTTACTGCTGCAGCTGCAGGTCATGGACATCTATTATTTTCCTTTTCTAGGATAGGGTGACAAACGAGCACACAGTCTACCTGATGGTAAGTGGTTGCTGTGACCCATAGACATCTACATCTATCCTCAATAAAGAATCAAAATGCAGATGTGTTGTATTCCGTGAGGACTAAGATCCTTCCCCAGTCGGGCCGACCCATTTGTGCTACAACTATACTACTAATATAGCTGCAGCATGGCTGTACCACATGCAAAAAATCTGCAACCAACTTTGAAAGCTCTACTAAATCTACAAAAGCTACAGATGTATATGCCACCCCTGAGCACTAAGATGGAATGCCTCATGACCTGTTATTATACAGGCAAATATATTTTGTTACAAACTTACAAATCTTTGGTAATTTAATTTGGAACATCTGAACAAGAGAGATGTATATTAAGTACCTATATAATTAATGATTATTTATATTCTGCAACATATTTTCAAAATTTAACACTTAATAATTTTTAAGATAATTGATAGAATCAGGCGTTACTTTGCGGAAATCCATTAAAATAGGTTTGTTATAAACTAATTTGCTTAATTCCGCGTAAAGAAAGAAACTGGCCAGGACACATCATTTTCTTTCTTTACGCGGAATTAAGCAAATTAGTTTATAACAACCCCATAATAAATTATAACTTAATGAGCAATAAGAAAATTCAAATATTAAAAAACCGGCCTTTAGACTGTGATATAAAATGAAAAATAGAGTAATAGTATAAATGAAATATTAAACAAATCACCATCTTCATCATCATTACAGGCCCTCACAAGTCTACTTCTGAAACACAGTCACAATTCACTTGCATCCATCGACGTTTTACGGAGATCTAGTTCGCAAATAAAAGTTAAAACTATTTTTTTAAGTCGACTTGGATTGCGTTACATCACTTAATTGAGGTATAGTGAATACTTTTTACCACTTTAAATATGAAATATATTTAGAAATAACAAACCAGCTCATAAAAAGTAAGAAGCGGAAATAAATTTGCGTCATATTTCAATAGGTACCTGTTGCATTTCGAAGTTCCAAGAATTGGGCTCGAATTTCAAATACCTACATAAAGATTTTTGTTTTACTAACCGTCTAATATTTCTTGGTCGAGCTGATACGAGGCCGAGTGCTTAGCGATCTCATCCATTCTTCATATTTGTAAACGTTTCAAATTGTTTATTATTACACAAATCACTTCGTGTTATTCCAATATTATTTCTTATCAAATGGCATAAGTACGCAAACAGGTTAGACACTATGACGCTGTCACATGCTGTCAGTGTCATTATCAAAATCAAAATCGTACACAAAAAAAATTTAGCTTGGATGCTTATCCTTTAAGCACTCATAAAAAAATATAGACCAAGGAACAGAATAAATAATAATAGTAAGCTACGTACAAAAGTTGTAAATACCTACTTCATTCATGTCGACAACTTTCCGCTGTTTTAATAGTCTACTACTAATTATTATTATTAATTACATAAATAGCATTGCATCATTTCAAATTCCTACGTCACGTCACGGACGATATAATTTCGTGGTTACCCAGGATTTTCAACAAAGAGTAAAAAAATACAGTATTTATATGCTATTTAATTGTATATGAATCAGTGCAGTTCTAATTTTATAAATATTATCAATCTCATTTCATATTTGTGTGGCGTAATTTTTGCCGGCTTAGTACATTGTGTTCATTTATTTAATTTACAACAGTTTTACTTTAATATTATGTCTTATAATTTTTTACCGTTTTTAAAATAACGTGTATTAAGATTAAGATTGAAAAAAAATCTAAATATGACGAACAATTTTAAATAAAAACTGGGAGGGTAAACATTGACACGTAATTACTAGATTAATATTCGTTAATAATTTTAGTAAATTATTTGCTGATTTTTTCATTATTATGTTTTCAAAATTGTTGATGACTGTATTTTCAATAATAAACATATGAATATACATATAAATTGCACTAAAATTTATACAACTATTTAAATCTATAATTAAATAAACTAAACAGTAAACAAAAATATTTATGCGAGTATACACATTAATTCTATTTACGTAAACAGTATTAAAAAACATAGAAATTCACTAGTAAGTCACTCGCCTAAACAGCGCTAGCCCTGACTACGTATGTAACTTGAGGTTTGGCACGATTGTAGGCATTTACATCATACAGGCAGCAAGAGTTACAGAAAGAGAGAACAATAGAGTCGTTCAGTCGAAATATTAAAAAAAGACGAGTTCTTTCCGATCGGCTTGGCTCACTGGCACTGTGAAGAGATGTCGCATCTCTTTGCGTATGTTATCTTCCACGAGGAGTGTCTATCTAATGTCATCTTTATTATAATGTTAATTTATATTAACTAGATTAAAAATAAATAAATAAATAAAAAAAGAGTAAAAAATGCGAAAACAATTAAAGAGCAAATCACTGATCAATACATAATCATAGGACATTAAGAAAAATAAAAGTAAAAAGTAGAAAACAATATCCCGCCATCTTTCAATTGTTTTTCTGTCCGCCAAAATGAGTGAATTTATCGAAGAAATTCCGTACATTCTGAAGTTTTATTGTAAAAAAAGGGCAAAATGTGACTCAAACCGTAAAAAAAATTTGTGACTTTTATGGAACTAATGCACTGTCAGTTGGTGGGGCACAAAGTTGGTTCAAGCGTTTTCACTTTCAGTCTGGGAATTTTGATGTCAAAGATGCATCTCGGTTTCGCTCTGGTCGCCTCATACGGCTAAAATCGATGCCATTTTTAAAAAAGTGGACCTAGATCGGCATATTAGTAGCTACCACATAGCCCAGAAATTGAGGATTGACTACAAAAAAGTTTTGACCCAAAAGTCTGGCTATACAAAAAAGTTCCATATAGTCCTGACCTTGCACCATCAGCTCCGTGGCGTAGTGGTTTGGTAATGAGTTGCGGCGCTAAGGGCCGCGGGTTCGAATCCCGGACGTAACAAGTATTTCTATGACCTACAAATAATTGCTCAGGGTCTGTTCTATGTATGCAAACTGTCCCTGCGATACACAAGAAAATCCTAATGTGGATGTAACGTTTTTTAAAAAGAGAGGAAGAGAGACAACTAATGAAATTAAAAATTTTTTACAACCGACTTTCATACGAATACGCATTATTAGGACAAAAAATATTTATACATTGTATAACACATCGGTGTATTCTAATATATACCGCATGCGTGCGTCTTCGCTTGCCGAAGCCGTTTAACGTCATGCATATTTGGCCACTCATACACACGTTCTAGTTTACATGACACTGCAAGCTTGATCAAGTCGGCAGAATCGAAATTCAATTTTTGCTTCAAGTAGACTTATCATGCACACTGCTAGCCATACACCGTCAAGTTTACCGGACGCCGCTTCAAGTGCCCTGCAAACTTGACGGTAAACTTGATCGTGAATGGCGGGCTTAATATGATGCTCACGCATTTTATTTATCTATGGTGTTACTGATCTGAATTCTGATTATAGGACAGTTACTATACTCTTTGCCACAAATTATAAAGTTGTATGCTGTGGTTGTATGCTCTTTGCTTCTGATTCTGACCAATTCTGACTGACAGCCGGAACGAAACACATTTTGGAATTTGTTTCTTTGTTTTTGCCGGTGTTTTATTGTTTACAGACCATAATCCGATTATTACAGTAAGTCCAAATATTCGTTGTAATTCATAGATTTTATATACTCTAATCCTGTAATTAATTGTAAATAGTCGTTTAAATCGCACGTGTGTCAAAGCGTTATTTCAAAATACTGGTTTTTGCACTAGGTAATAATAATATTGTAACCATTAACTACAAAGATTAAGTAAATATGGATGATTTATGTACATAGACTGAAAGCTTTACACTTATTTACTTAGTTATAAATCGCTATCCCTGTTCTCGGCTTTTTTTAAATGTAGCTTGTTACCATACAACACTAACTGACTTCTAAAGTACATTTTTAGTCTTCCCTTTATAAGTCTGGGTAGGCGCCGCCTTCTTCCTTCCTTTCCGCCATCAAACAGCAGTGCATGTACTAATGTGTTCCTGGCTGAAAAGTATCATCTTACACTCCTCAGAGGTGACAATGCATCTGTAGTCTTCTTTCTTTTGACTGTCTGGTTGGTCTAGTGGTTGTAGTAGTGCAACTGCTGATCGTTAGGTTCTGGGATAAAATCCCGGGTCAGGCCAAAAAAAATCAGTTTTTGAGCTTTTTTATCAAGAAATTCTCAGTACTGCCAGTTACTATTACTATCTAGAACTAACTGCTCGGAGTCAGGGAGTTGGCATATAAAGCCATTGGTTCTGCGCCTGATCTCTCTCCGGTTGTGTCGGTTTACCGTCCCAGTGAACTATGAGATTGAGGGAATAGAGACTGCACCTGTCTCCTTGTGCATGCACTAATGTACTATAATCCTGTCCTCAGCCGATGGGTACTGTCCGTTGACATTGACAGGCATGACCGAAGTACAGTCTGGAGGACTGTCAGAGACTGTAAATTTGTTTAACACTTCAATTTCTCTCAATGGCACCACCTACCGGGTACAATTGTGAATCTGAACCATTCTCGAATCAACTTTATCTCACACATGAAATTTCATCAAAATCAAAAAAGAACAGAAGAACCAGCAAGACACCGATGGGGATTTTGTTTAAATAACATTTATTTACCATATATTATTTTGTACAATTAGTATGAGAGCATTAAGAAACAACATGGTAGTGGTCACCTCATTCCTAGTTAATATTAATCATGGACTCTTTAGTAACATATTATTAAGCCTTATTAAACAAGTTTTTCTTAATACAAATTTTAAACTTTTTGATAGTTAAGACCTGCTAGATATTTTGTGGGACTTTGTTAAAGAAGTGTATACATTGCCTTATGAAGGAGTTACTGACTCTTTGGAGTTAAATAATTAGTATAACTAACTTGTGCTTGTTCCTACTATATACAGAATGTACGTCTACACGTACGTATACACTAAATTTTCGTAAATATACTGAGAGGCCAATGTTAATACGAGGGTGGATTGAAAAGTACTCGGCCTAACACCGATCCATTCAATTCTAAAAATCAAATCTACCCAGATTATTTAGTTCAGTTCAGACTAGTTCATTGTGTGAAGTTCGAAACGTGTGCGATAATTAGTTGTGATTTTATAAATTTATTAACAAAGTAATCGGACATAATTTCCGCGAATGGAGCAAATCGAGCAGCGTGCCGTCATTAAGTACCTCCATAAGAAGGGGCTATCATCAAAATCCATCCATGATGACATGGTCAGTACATTAGGCGATTGTGCTCTGTCATATTCATCCGTCAAAAAATGGATAGCAGAATTTAAGCGTGGTAGAGAGAGTGTGAAAGATGAACCCCGCTCTGGAAGGCCTTCGACGTCAACTACTGACGAAAATATTAAAAAAGTACTTGATTTAATAATGGGAGACCGCAGATTAAAAATATAGATAGCCGAGATTATAGGCATCTCTTATGAACGAACTCAAAACATCATTGTCAACAAGTTGGGTTTCCACAAGGTGTCTGCGAGGTGGGTTCCGCGACTGCTTTCAGTTGAACAAAAAAGGACGCGATTGACTATTTCACGCGACTGTTTGGAGTTATTTGAAGCCGATGCAGATGATTTTTTGAATCGTTTTGTTACTATGGACGAAACATGGGTTCATTACTGTACACCGGAAACAAAACAACAATCAAAACAGTGGAGAAGACCTGGTTCACCACCCCCTAAAAAGGCTAAGTCGATTTTGTCGGCAAATAAGGTGATGGCTTCAGTATTCTGGGACTCGAAAGGTGTGATTATGATTGATTATCTTGAAAGGGGTCAGAATATAAACTCTGATTACTACTGCACCTTACTACGTCGTTCACGAGAGGAAATAAAAGAAAAACGTCGAGGAATGCTCAGAAGAAAAGTCCTGTTTCATCAAGATAACGCCCGTGTTCACACGTCAGTACAGTCAATGGCTGAAATTCACAACTGTGGCTTTGAACTGATACCGCATCCACCGTATTCACCTGATCTGGCACCATCAGACTTCTTTCTGTTCCCTAACCTAAAAAAGCACTTGGGAGGTCAAAGATTTTCGACAAACGACGAGGTCAAAGCAGCTGTAGACGCATATTTTGACTCTAAGGAAGCATCATTTTTTTTCAACGGTCTAAATGCTTGGAAGGGGAGGTGGCAAAAGTGTATTGAACTTGATGGTGATTATGTAGAAAAATAAAAATATAACTGATTTAGTATTTGTTTATTTTCTTGGTTAGGCCGAGTACTTTTCAATCCACCCTCGTATTATGTTTATTTCTTAAAAAATTTCTCTAAGGGTTTCCTTTGTAAAGTGCTCTTATGGTTGTCTTCTGCAAAATAGAAATAGTTTCAATGTCGGTCGCATTAGCCCATAGCAAGATTCCTTACAATATTATGCTATAGAAATAACTAAAATAAAATGTATGGATACATTTTTGTTTATCTTTTGTCTCAAGATTTGTTGGATGAGGTATAGGTGTTGTTAGATAATACTTTTAACCAATTCAATAAATAATCACTACTTAGTAAATACTATAAAATATTTACAAAACACATTAGAAGTAAATGCAATATATATATTATATATCACCAAAGTAAATGGCTTATGTAAACCAACAGCAACATCACAATCACTGTAATATCACCTTCTTTGCTGGTACTAAAAGATTTATCATGACGGACAGCTACTTGTCTGTGCAGTTCTCTATACTGCTTGTACGAGATGGGGAGTTTAACCGTGTATTAGAAATCTACCCTCACTTAACACTATATAACCTTGGTACTAACACGAAATTTATGTTGTTACAGTTCAATGGCTAACAGGACTTGGAATAATCACAATCAAGACTGGGATCCAATGAGAGATGACTACAACGATTCTGTGTTTGAGCCGCAATACCCTGATGACAATGCTGGGTAATTGATTGGAGTTTTATTTTTTATGGGATTTTGCTGGATAACATTGTACTTTGTTTCTGTGGCTTTATTATGGTTGCAGCACGAATGGATCGGCTTGGCTGGGGTAGGTCCACACTTACAGAATACTGGCGTAAAATTGCAGCTTAATGGTGATGCATTTCATGTGGTTTGTTTAGAGAACCCGAGACCCTCTTACTGTAAAGAAGGGATTTTATGGTAGTCCTCATGGGTGACAACGCATCTGCATTTTGATTCTTAATCGAGGATAAATGTTCATGTGAATAAGCCACAGTATCCACTTACCATCAAGTGGACTGTGTGCTCGTTGGTCACCCGTATTCTATAAAAAAAAGCTATCTTAACATCATTGATAAAATACTTTGATTGGGGTTACTTTTGTTCTAGACTTAGCCTACCATAAGTACACTGATAAACATAAGCCTCTCCCAAAGTCTGCAAAGCCTAAGTCATGTCACAACTGTCAACTTGCTGCTTATCACATTGGCTGTCACTTCATTTAAAAATGGTGCTTACTATATACTTGTCAATTTGAGGCTAAGGCTTGAGAATATTTATGCCTTTACTGGTTAGTTATCAGTTTCCGAGCTGTATGATTGGTTTCATGCCATTTTAGCTGACCCTTGTACTATGTTAAAATAATAATAATAAGATGAAGTGACTAGAAGTTGGCGAAGAGAAAAAGCACATGTAGATTCTATAGTCCTCTCCACATCAAGCATAATCCCAAATCATCTCCAGAGCTTGAAATTGTTAATAGCAGCCTTTTGCAGTGTAATGTAGAAGGTTTCTTTTAACCCTCTACATTACACTGCAAAAAGCTGCTATTTTAAATACATGCAGAATTGTCATAAAATTCATGCAGATAGAAGAAAACAAAACAGCATCTCATAAAAATAAACACTACGTGCTGCATTTGCTTTGGTTTTGGCCCGTAAATGTAGTTGAATTCCAGTATAAGGGCTGAGAAGTGAATAACATATTCCGAAAATAATAATAATTCGGTTTTTATTTTAGGAATAGTCCATATGCGTTTATGTTAAATATGTAAATTTCACGAATACCATAAAATAAGTTTTTTTTAATTTTATTATACTGACACTCATACTATGTACCTATTATTAGTTTTCATACGTATTGTCATATTTTGTTTTGCTATGTACACTTTTTTGGATTATAGATGAGTTATAATAATATTTGTTACTCTGTGTTGTCTGTATGTATTGTCTACAATCTGCTTGTGTGCCTTATTAATAAAATAAAATAAATAAAATACAGAACAATATAAAAAACAAATATTTATAACAATAAACTTGTTAAATCATGTTATTACTCTGATTATCTGGTTCTATCCCGTCCTGTCATACTGCATAATTAACATGCTTACCCTTCATTCAGTGACCTCCCGTTACCACCTCACATACTTTATATTTTGCACTAGGTAATTTCATTTATTACTTGTAGTTTTTTTATCATTTATTATTTTTGTTTTGTTGGTAACAGTGGTGGTGTCAACCTAGATCATTGTCGCCTGTATATCACAAACATTCCAAAAACCCTAAACGAAGAGGGCCTGCGAACAGCTTTTGCCAAGTACGGAACACTCACCGAAGCCTTCCTCAGTAAGGACACACAGAAACGTTACGGACTAATATCATACGAGACTCCTGGGTAAGTAATTTTTAGTAGTCTCTTACAGTTTGTTTAGGCCGTGTAAGATAATTAGCGTGTAATAGCGGTGTAATATCCTCTGCCCCATATTATCCCGTGGGTGTCGTAAAACGCGACGGAGAGAAATCAACCAGGAAATAGGCAGCAGCATCTTCCTGAAAACAGCTGAACGAAAATAAAAATTTGTGGTTGCCATTCCGCTTGCCAAGAGGGGCAACTATGGCAAATATTCCTGTTTTGAGGTAATATATGGGATAGGCCATTGTTTAGCAGTGGACTTTTTTTTATAGGATAGGGTGACAAACGAGCACACAGTCCACCTGATGGTAAGTGGTTGCTGTGGACCATAGACATCTACATCTATCCTCGTTTGCTAAACAAAATGAAGATGCGTTGTCACCCGTGAGGACTAAGATGGAATGTCTCTTTTCCAGTAAAAGGGTCTCCGGTTCTTTACACTCACCTTACGAAACACAGCAGCATTAAGCTGCTATTTTACGCTGGTATTCTGTGAGAGCGTGGTCCTTCCCCGGTCGAGCCGACCCATTCGTGCTACAACTATACTACTAATATAGCTGCAGCATGGCTCTACCACGTGTGTTCCTGACAACAGCTGAATAAAAGTAAAATCGTGAAACTTTGGCAAATATCCCTCTTGTGAAGCAATCTATAGCATGTTTAGCAGTGGATTTTAGGCCGTAATGTATTGTTCCGATGTAGCAGGAGGTGTAGGGTGGACTAATATAGACGAGGGCGAAGTCGCATCAGCGAGGCCGCTTTTCTTTCGTTCCCAAGATCTACCAAACACGCTTTGACACGACATACCTACTCATATCTATTAATTTCTGACAAGTCTCTTATTACGTCAATGTAACAGTCGCGGTCTTTGAAGGTAGTTACAACGGCCTCGCAGTCGCACTTAAGAGCGGCTTCTTGCGAGGCCCCAAACATACACGCTTTTTAAATTTGTGACATTCTTTTTCGAGCGTAAAAGTGACCACAGATGACTAAATCTGTGGTAAAGTCTGTGGTATCGCATTTTAAGGGGCCTCGTAAGTGCGAGGCCTTGGGCGAGGGTCCACTACGCCCACGCCTAGCTACGCTACTGTAGCACCGTCAAATGTATAAGACGTATGGTAATGCAATCGTCAATACGTCAACCAAGAGTGCTGATTTAGGCAAGTCCTTCCTACATTGGGAGAGGTCCATGTCCATCTGTAGACTTACAGACAGATAAAGAAGAAAGGGTAATGTACCCTGCTTAGAATGACTATTTCTAGTAGCAAATAATTGGAAATCTGCTATGCTCTGCTGATTTTGTAAGATGTTTTCTATTACTAGTATGTGTTTTTTATCTATATCTATACATAAAATTGAAGTGTCTCTCTGTAATATTGAAATAAGTGGCTTCTATTAAGCTCAGGGTCTTATTTGCACGCTATTAAAACGTAAAAAACTATTGGTAAATCCAATTGTGCATGCCCTAAGCGCATTAAAAAAATTACGTGTAACATATTAAATACACACAAGTTTTCACTAATAACCACCTTATTATACTTCCAATTTTCCAATAATTTTATGTCAAACTTCAATTTAAAAAAAGTTTGGATAATCCAAAAGTCCACGACTAATACTGCGCATATGATCATCATATCATCATTCAGGTCACTCCGTAAAGTCCAAGACGTATTTAAGCATAAGTATATACATCCTACTTACTTTTAGTACGTAGTACTATTATTTATTCTGTGCTTTTAAAATATTGTAATAAAAATCTCTGAATTTTTATTACAATATTTTATTTATTATAATAATCAAGTAGGTATGAAATTTGATTTTTCGAATATTTTGTATTTATATCTTTTTTACACCGAGTGAGGCAAGATATTTAGTAAAATAAATTAATACGAGGCTGCTAAAATACCGAAAATTTCAACATTTCGCATCCGAAAAATTAATTATAACCAAACAAAACAAAATTAAGCTGCCATTTACATTCCATGGCTTCCCACTTTTTTTTTATAGGATAAGGGTGACAAACGAGCACACAGTCCACCTGATGGTAAGTGGTTGCTGCGGTCCATAGACATCTACATCTATCCTCGTTTGCGAATCAAAATGCAGATGCGTTGTCACCCGTGAGGACAAAGATGGAATGCCTCATTTCCAGTAAAAAGGTCCTCCGGCCACCTGCACTCACCAAGCGAAACGCAGAGGTAAACCTCTACTTCACGCTGGTATTCTGTGAGATCGTGGTACCACCCCGGTTCGAACCGGCCCATCCGTGCGACAGCAAAAAGCTGCCGCGTGGCTCTACCATTGTTAAACTCTAGGCTCTACCACATGATAGATGAAGGGATTAAAAATAGATTGAGTTAAACTATTGATAATTTCAAAAGTTATCGTGTTTACCACTCCATGCGGACTTGATTAATAGCAATTAATCGATTTAAAAAAAAGTAATAAGTTCAACAATCATTTATCTTTCGGACAATGTGCTTTTTATATTATCATTTCTATATTCAATATGATTGTTAGATATAATTTTATGAAACAAAACGTTGGAATTTTGATTTTTAGGCGCTAGTAGAACATACCTACGCGCTTTGCGCTTAAGGCATGCAATAATCATTTTTTTAATTTTTCTGTTTGTCCGGGCTAATCTTCAGATTAGCTGAAGCGATTGTGATAAAACTTTAGGAACAGTTTGAGAGCAATACCAGGAGAGATCTTGGCTATATTGTATCCGAAAAACGTGGCCGCTTAAAAAAAAAAACGAAAAATGTATATATATATCAATGGTCTTAAATCTAAAATAAAAAAAAAAAAAAAATAAAAAAAAAAAAAAAAAAAAAAATACTATCCTATCCAGGTGAAGCTGGGGCGGGTCGCTAGTAATTTATAAATCTTGTAAATAAAAGATCAAAATGCACCTTATGCATTACTCCTTATTCTCTAGTTCTTTATTATTATTTTTTTTTCAATATTATTGTTTGCTTTTTTGTTTTTTTTTTTTTTGTTTAATTTTACCATATCTATAAACAAGGAGTTAATGTCCTGTTTCATGATTTCTATGTATAATTTTTTTGTATTTTTTTTTTGTTTGTTTCTATGACTACTTAAATGTTATGTGTTTTATGTAATCCGCTTGAGTGTGCTGCATGTGCCAAATAAAATCTGTTTCTTTCTTTCTTTCTTTCAAAACAATTTGTAAACATTCAATTTAAAGCTACGCTAGCCTAATTGAGGTGAACGCACTTTTGTCAGGACAGTACGCGCCGCATTTTAGAATTCGTTGTATGGAATCATATGAAACCTCGCACATTTCATCCGCACTGTACGCGCCTTATTATACTGCTTAAATTGCGGTAGGTATCCGAATATTGGAGGCATGCTGATGACGTTATATAATGTGGCACCAGGCCTCTGTCACTCTTGCTACCTGCGTGATGTAAATACCTACAATTGCGCGTAACCTCGGGTTACATACACAGTCAGGGTGGCGCGTTTTAGGCGAGCGTCGTACTAGTGAGTTTTAAAGTTTTTAACACTGTTTACGTAAATAAATTATTTGTATTCACTTGTATAAATATTATTTGTTTATTGTTTAGTATATTTAGTTATAAGATAAAATAGTTGTGTAAGTTTTAGGGTAGTTTATATGTATATTTATATGTTTATTATTGAAAATATATTCATTAACAATTTTGAAAACATAATAATGAAAAAACCAGCAAATAATTTACTAAACTTATTAACGCTTATTAATTTTATCACTCGCATGTCAATGTTTTCCCTCCCAGTATTTTACGTAAAATTTTACGTTAGATTTAGAACTTTGTCCAGTTATTTTAGAGATGGTAAAAAAATATAAAACATTATATATATATATATATATAAAACATTATATATATATATATATATATATAAAGTAAAACAGCTGTAAATTAAATAAATAATCAAAAGGTAGGTACTATATTACACGTACTGTATTTTTTACTATTTGTTGAAAGCCCCGGGTAACCACGAAATATCGTCCGTAACGTAGAAATGGGAAAAGATGCAAAGCCATACGGACACTAGCGCGCAGCGATAAAGTTTAATAATTATGTAGGCTCTTAGAATTATTACGTACAGAATCCTAGTACGCACACCGAAACTGAAGCAAGTAAAACTAACGTGAAACCGCGTAAGTTCACTTAGTGACCCGTCAGTGCGCATCGTCTCGTCATACGGAGAAGAGCTCGCAGCAAATTGTGAAAATTACTTAAAATATTGTCACGACAGTGATGTCAAACATAAAGAAAGTGATGGTATTACATTTCAGCGATAATTTAATAATTTACTTCATTATTATATCTATATACATATGAAAATCACGCCTAAAATAAAAAAAAATACTTACCTAAGCTATCATGATACAAATTTTAACAGTGTAATTTTAACAGTGGTAGAGCCACGGGGCAGCTTTTGCTGTCGCACGGATGGGCCGGCTCGAACCGGGGTAGTACCACGACCTCACAGAAAACCAGCGTGAAGTAGAGGTTTACCTCTGCGTTTCGCTTGGTGAGTGCAGGTGGCCGGAGGCCTTTTTTACTGGAAATGAGGCATTCCATCTTAGTCCTCACGGGTGACAACGCATCTACATTTTGATTTGTAACAGAGGATAGATGTAGATGTCTATGGGCCGCAGCAACCACTTACCATCAGGTGGACTGTGTGCTCGTTTGTCACCCTTATCCTATAAAAAAAAAAAAAAAAAAAAAATGTTGCTAGTTGTGTTAAATCGCAACGCTCTGTGTAAAACTCAAACGTTTAAATGTAGATACCTATTTATCTAAGTAATAACATAATATTAACAATTCGTACCACATGGGTGCCTATTTTAAACGATCTATTGACGCAATTTTAACGCTGTTTTATTTTTATTGCGTTGTTCATTGACCAAGTAAAAGTTTTAGACTAATAGAATAAAGAATTTTTATTTACTATCAATTAAG